TTTCAGCTCCTGGGGGCACATCCGTGTACGTGCCGTCAGGTGAACGAGCCCACTTTGTGTTTGCATCTTTTTGCGGAATCAGTTTACCTGCTCTTTGATCATTTGGTTTTTTAGCTGTTTATTGGTTTGAATCTGTTTTGTGGGCTTTTATCTGACCTTTCTGTGGCTACCACACATGTCTGTATTAAATTACAGATCTGGGAGTAAAACCAGATGTTTTCCCTTTCACCTCTGGGGGCATTGGGGTTCAACAGGTTAATTGTTTATTGCTTAATTACTTTTATATAGTATGAATAGCCATGAGGGAGGTTTTTTATCAGTAGGAAAAGTTGTAAAACTTTTGAAAATAAAGTCAAGTCTAGAACTTCTGCTTGTGCTTGCTTGTGGTGAGCAGCAGATCAAAGAAGTTAAGAATTAAAAAACTTCCTTGGCTGTGAGACTCATTTAAACACTGAGCCATGGCTCTGTGCCACATGCAGACATTTCTGCATCTCATCCATTCAAAGACACTTTATATAATTTATTTTATGTAATTAACACTGAACTGTAAATGTAATACTTTTTAAGGAAGCAAAGTTTTTTTCGTTCCATGTTTTCAAAAAGCCTTATTTTTATGGATTTTTCTTCTGCAAATGAGGTTTAAGGCCTGGAGAGTTGAAACCTTTTGTCCTCCACAATGGAAAATGGCAGAAAATAAAAGCGTGTATCACTTTATCCAGCTCCTAATGTCCTGCAGCCTGTGCTCGTTTCTTCATTTCCTGACACGCTGGCATTTAAATTGGGCTCCCCTGTCTCTCTGTGTACCTGGTCTGTACCACTACACTTGCTGTCTTGGAACATCTACCTCCCTTCCTCCTTTTCACACAATGGGATGATCCCAATCTGTCTTTGCATTTGATTGGCTGGATTGCCCATCAAAATAAAGTCCCACCCCCTGCCTGCATGGATTCTCAGCAGGGCTGAAGTTTCGGCTCCTACGTACAAACGGACCATTAATAACTGACACATGAAATTATCTAGCGGGTCGGATATAATTGTAGGGCTGTACATTTGACATCCCTGTGTTTAAGTAATACCTGCCAGCTAATATTTACAGTGTTGATCAGAACCTGTTGGTGTACAGTAACTTGTGGTACACTGAATTGTTTAGTCATAATTTTTTTTGTATTAAAAAAAACCCCCAAAACCAACCCCAAATGATCTAAATCTATAATAATCAAATATTTTTTATGTTATTAGTTGATAATTCTCCTGTTCTTCCTTTCAGCTAAGAGCCCTACCAGTACTCAGTCACCCAAATCATCCTTCTTGGCCAGTCTCAATCCCAAGACATGGGGCAAGCTGGGTGCTCAGACCAACAATGCCAACTCTGAGCCCTCGCGCACAGCAGGAGTGAGTGGCCTCGCAAGGGCCCCTCCCAAGGACTCAATTTCAAATAACCGGTACGGTTGTGAGTTAACGAAGACAGCTTAGCATTGTCTTTACTCCTATATTATCCAAATCTCCCGTCGTGGGCTGAACCATCGTCCTTAACAAGTGAATTATTTATTTTGTCATTTGTAGAGACAAAATTAAGGCCTGGATCAAAGACCAAGCGACTAAGTTTGTGGAGCGCTACTTCAACTCTGAAAATGTGGATGGTAGCAACCCTGCACTGAATGTCCTCCAGAGACTTTGCACAGCCACCGAGCAACTCAACCTCCAGGTAAAACACGAGCGCTACCTCGAAAAAGAAGTTATTGAACAGCTAGCAACACCTTGTACAGGGTTTGTTTGTTTGAGGTTTTAAAGTTATAAGATGTTATAACTATAATAAGACGGTAGTTGTACTTGTTGAGTAACTATCAGTAGTTACACCCCATACCTGAAATATTTTATCATCTGATGCATTTCACAGGTGGATGGTGGTATGGAGTGCTTAGTGGAGATCTCCAGTATTGTGTCAGAATCTGATGTGTCGTCTTTTGAGATCCAGCACAGTGGGCTGGTGAAGCAGCTGTTGGTCTACCTGACCGCCAACACAGACAGAGAATTGCTGAGTCGTGATGTGCGGCTCAAAAGGTTCCTCCATGTGTTCGGTGGCTGTCCGGTGAGAGACTAAAACCTATATTATTGTTAAATTATCTTATTCTGCTCAAGTCTGAAAGTTCTGCAGTGATCTGTTTTTACAATCAACAGTTTCCTCTAATAAATGTGTTTTACAGGAAGATGGTGGAAGCATGTTTGCTGGGTTTGTTTCTAACTTCTTCTTTTTTTTTTTAAATTCCCTCATTTTGTCTCAGCCTCCAGGAATGGAGCCCATAGGTCGCCTGGATCTAGCTGAGAATGCACCTTACTTGGCCATGGTGCACAAGATGAACAGCTGTCTGAGCCAAATGGAGCAATTTCCTGTCAAGGTGCACGATTTCCCCAGTGGCAACGGCAATGGCAGCAGGTCTGTGGCTTCACATACATTTTGTTTCCAGCTGTTTGTGCACATTTTGGTGTGGTGTACTCGTTTTAATTGATATGAATCTCTCACTCTCTCCTCAGGGGATCTCAGGCACTCAAGTTCTTCAACACACATCAGCTTAAGTGTCAGCTGCAGAGACACCCAGATTGCACTAATGTTAAACAGTGGAAAGGGGGACCTGTAAAGATCGACCCTCTGGCTCTGGTGCAAGCCATTGAGCGGTATCTTGTCGTCAGAGGTGAGAGACATTTGCAGAATGTTTACGTCAACTTGTGCTTCAACCCCACTGCAGGGCCGTTTGCATTGTCCAAGAGACCAAACTTTTTTCAGCTGTTAGCCATTTTTCAGAACTCGCTGTTAGGTTGCATTGTAAATTTAAAATCTCGTCTCTACAGGATACGGCCGAATCAGGGAAGAAGACGAAGACAGTGATGATGATGGCTCAGATGATGAAATAGACGAATCACTGGTATGCGATTCCATTCATGCCAAATAATGGTTGTGCGTGTGCTTCTATATAATCCTCTGTAGATATGCATCTTTTTAATCCCTCCTATGTGATTTCTTGATTACTCAGGCAGCTCAGTTTTTGAATTCAGGCAGCGTACGTCACAGACTGCAGTTCTACATTGGTGACCACCTGCTACCGTACAACATGACGGTGTACCAGGCTGTGCGGCAGTACAGTCTGCAGGCAGAAGAAGAACGGGAGTCAACAGATGATGAGGCAAACCCACTTGGCCGAGCTGGCATCTGGACCAAAACGCACACAATATGGTATAAATAACCACTTTTTATACCAACTTAATATCTCATGACAATCAAGATTCAAAGTCTCTTAAAGGGTTTGGGGGGGTGACCGACCATGGCTCAGGGGGTTGAGAAGCGCATCTGTAACTGGAACGTCGCTGGTTCAATCCCCGGGCTCTCTGTCCTGGTCGTTGTGTCCTTGGGCAAGACACTTTACTCTACCGCCTACTGGTGTTGGCCAGAGGAGCCGATGGCGCGATATGGCAGCCTCGCTTCTGTCAGTCTGCCCCAGGCCAGCTGTGGCTACAACCGTAGCTTGCCTCCACCAGTGTGTGAATGTGAGAGTGAATGAATAGTGGCATTGTAAAGCACTTTGGGTGCCTTGAAAAGCGCTTGTTGTTTTAAATATTGGAGTATATTGCTTTAGTTGCTCTAGGATCTTCTAGGTCAGAGTAACAGGGAAAAGGCATGAAACAGCCACTTAAAACCATTGAAGATCCTTTACAGAGACTTGCAACACACCAGGATGCCCCGCTTTTCAAAGACGTATTCTTCTCTATTATTCAATATGTGGCCTTTTAGAAGTAAAACTGGGACTGTACATGTTTTTGTTTTGTTTTTCTTAAAGCATGGAGACCATTTTCTCTTTTATCCTGTAAACAGGTATAAGCCTGTGAGGGAGGACGAGGATGGAAGCAAAGATGCTGTGGGTGGCAAGAGAGGCCGAGCCCAGACTGCTCCCACCAAAACCTCACCCCGCAACGCCAAGAAGCAGGATGAGCTGTGGCATGGTGAGAATTTTGGATATCTCAGGAGTAAGGCTTTGTTCGTTTTACATTAAAACTTCACCTGCTGGCTATGAAATACTTGATGTCACTGACATTGAAATGTCAAGCAGGCCACACACTTGTACATCTGATGTTTGATGTCACCTTTGCAAAGTTTAACTGTGAAATCAAAAAGCGAGTGAGCGGATCGGTGGCCTTATTGTTCAGTTTCTACTGAATCTAAATGTGTATGTTTTGATTAAAACTATTCCCATTGCTTCCAGATGGTGTATGTCCCAGCGTCATCAATCCCTTAGAGACATACCTCACTTCGGAGCCACCAGAGACCATAACTTTTGATGACCCTTCTTTAGAGGTCATCCTGCTGCTGAGGGTCCTGCACTCCATCAGTAGATACTGGTTCTACCTGTATGATGTAAGTCTCCTTTGGACAGGATTCTGACAGTGAGGAAGTTAGTGTGTGTTTGTTTCTGATAGTTTTGAACACCAAATATCGTCCTTCGGAAAAAATTTTCACAGGCCTTTACACAATTAGGATTGTTCATTGTGTTGTGACATAAAATATTCCAGTAACATTGACTTTAATATTTTATTTTATTGTACAGAACGCTGCGTGTAAGGAAATTATCTCTACCAATGAGTTCATTAACAGTAAACTGACAGCCAAAGCCAATCGTCAGCTGCAAGACCCTCTGGTCATCATGACTGGGAACATCCCCACGTGGCTCATTGAGCTTGGAAAGTCCTGGTAAGTTTCACAAGAATAGTCTGTGATCTGTTTTACAACGCCAAGATTACATTTGTTGGGGTTGTTGCCTGGCTGTAGTAACACACATTTCTCTTTCTTTTCCTCTGCAGCCCCTTCTTCTTCCCCTTTGACACTCGGCAGATGTTATTCTATGTAACCGCCTTTGACCGTGACAGAGCAATGCAGCGCTTGTTGGACACAAACCCTGAGATCAACCAGTCAGATTCTCAGGACAGCAGAGTTGCACCACGTCTCGACAGGAAAAAGGTGCAGTGTGTTACTTCGAAGCATTGTGATGTACTTTTTCTATCTTGGAATCCACATCTTGTGTCGTGTGACCTGCTAAATGTGATCATGTGATTCCTTCTATTATGCTGTGTTTGCAGAGGACAATAAACCGCGACGAGCTCCTAAAACAGGCAGAGTCTGTGATGCAGGATCTCGGCAGCTCCAGGGCAATGCTCGAGATTCAGTATGAGAATGAGGTATTTAAGTTTCTCGTATCTGAATGCTCAAACTCTGAAAGAAAATAGGAGGAACGTTTGGACTTTGTTTTCCCTCTCATTTCAGGTGGGCACAGGTCTCGGTCCCACTCAGGAGTTCTACGCTCTGGTGTCTCAGGAGCTTCAGCGCGCCGATCTTGGTCTTTGGAGAGGCGAAGAGGTTACTCTGGCCAATCCTAAAGGTACCAGCTTATATCCTGCAACTGTGAACAGACGTGCGGGAAATGATGAAAAGTGTTGTTAAATGACGCGAGTCTGTTAATACAAAACTCATTATCGAGGTAGTCTTCATCTCATTAGTCAGGCGTTAATGAAAGTGCTTAAGTTTGGTTTTTGAAGGATGTCGTTATTTAGGGGCCACTGATTTTAATTGATCAGTTTTCCCAAGAAGACATGTCTGGAATTCATATTCATATTTAATGTTACAGTATCTTGTATTAACTTTCAGTGACCGCCTTCTTGTTTTGCAGGAAACCAAGAGGGAACAAAGTACATGTTCAGCTCCAGAGGACTGTTTGCCGTTCCCTTCGGCAGGACGACCAAACCAGCGCACATAGCCAAAATCAAAATGAAGTTCCGTTTCTTAGGAAAGCTAATGGCTAAAGCCATAATGGACTTCAGACTGGTAACGGCCTCCATTTTCATCTCTTACACACCGTTTAGCATGCGGAGGCTGTAAACATTTACATGTTAAAACAAACTTTCTGACCTGATCCTGTCCTCCTCCTCGTCTTTAGCTGGATCTGCCCTTGGGGCTGCCATTTTATAAGTGGATGCTACGGCATGAGATGTCTATAAGCTCCCACGACCTGGTGAACATTGATCCCGGTGTTGCCAAGTCAATCCAGCACTTGGAGGATATTATCCGCCAAAAGAAGAGGCTGGAGCAAGACCGATCACAGGTAGAGCGCAGAGAGCTTGTGTTTAATGAAATTAGCCCAGAGTATTGTTCTGTGGAACGATGCCTCTAAACTTACTTTGAGATACTGCTGTTGGTAGTGCTCCCCCTTCTTTGTACATATATTGGTGTCTCTTACCTTTAGGTCATACTTTATACCCAGAGCAGTTCTCCCTCACTTTTCTCTGCTAACCTGTTTGTCCTCGTTCGTTTCCATCAGACGAGGGAGACGCTACAGCAGGCTCTCGAGAGCCTGAACATGAATGGCTGCTCAGTGGAGGACCTGGGTTTGGACTTCACCCTTCCAGGATTCCCAAATATTGAGCTGAAAAAGGGCGGCAAAGATGTCCCAGTCACAATCTACAACCTGGAGGAGTACCTCAGGGTATTTGAGTTTTTCTAACAACCCACGCTTTTATCAATCCCCCCAACCCCCCCGTGTCCCCACTGTTCTTAATGTTTTGCTTTGTCCCTGTAGTTGGTGGTGTACTGGACTCTAAATGAAGGAGTGTCCAGACAATTTGAATCGTTTAGGGAAGGGTTTGAGTCGGTCTTCCCCTTACATCACCTGCAGTATTTCTACCCAGAGGAGGTAAGAAACTTTGTTTTGTTTACTGCCTGGTAGTCATTTTAAATCTATCTGTAATGATGAAATTCAGCAGTTTTCAACAGTGTGTCAGCATTGCTTACAGCAGCACTCGGTGTGTTTTTAGGAATGCAGGGTAGACAAAAATGGGTCAAATATAGACATGAGTTGTTTACACTTTTGGTAAAGTAAATCCTGTGCTCATAGTTTGGATTTTCTCCTTCCATTCTCACTTTAACATTTAGCTTGACCAGTTGCTGTGTGGCAGTAAATCAGAGACGTGGGATGTCAAGACGCTGATGGAGTGTTGTCGACCGGATCACGGATACACACATGACAGGTGAGACCGTCTGTGGCTCTTAAGTTTTAGATCGTTGTAAATCTCAGCATTCTTCAGTATTTATGCGAAGAATTTGGCTGACGGTGGCAAAGCATGATCAATTCCACATTCCTGGCTCTTACTGGAAATATCGTGACTCTCGTTTCTAGTAAACAGAACCCACAGTGCAGTCAGCTGGTTGCACCAGTTTTACCATCATTGCAAAGCAGAGGAGTATTTTTGATCATTTTACTAACACAGTAACGTTTCTCAACCATTTCATCCCGTTTTGCAGCCGTGCAGTTCGGTTCCTGTTTGAGGTGTTGAGCAGCTTCGATGCCGAGCAGCAAAGACTGTTTCTGCAGTTTGTCACAGGAAGCCCAAGACTGCCCGTCGGAGGTGAGGCGCATCATACACACACGCACACCATTTAATGAGCCTGACATGTGACTCTTAATCAAATAAACTCAGATGTGTTTGTACTGCAAGTCTGCCTCGCGCTCACCCGCTGTTGCCCTTGCACGCCAGGTTTCCGGAGCCTGAACCCACCTCTGACGATTGTGAGGAAGACGTTTGAGTCGACGGAGAATCCAGACGACTTCCTCCCCTCAGTCATGACATGCGTCAACTACCTGAAGCTGCCTGACTACTCCAGCATAGAGATCATGCGAGAGAAACTGTTGATTGCGGCTCGCGAGGGCCAGCAGTCTTTCCACCTTTCCTGATCTCGCCACATCTCAACATTCAAATGCCTTCTACAGCAACCGATGAAATCATGACTTCCTTCTTAGTTTTTTTGTAATCACACACATTAAGGCTACATGTACAGCCTTCTTGTTAGAGAAAGCAGCTTGCAGAAAAATTAAGACTCTAAATATATATTTGCTGCCCCTGTCTCTCAAAAAAAGGAGGGAAAAAAAAAGAAAAATGGAAGGGTGTTCCATGACGCAGAACTTAAAATATAAAGAGAGTAAAATCTTATATCAGTAGTTGAGTAATGTTAAAAAAGATGAAAACATCTGGGTGACATTTTAAATTGCTATGTGATATTTAAACAAGACAAAAAAGAAAAAAAAAAGGGATGTCTTCTCTCCAGAGTGGTGGACAGCATCACTGGGTGACGGGGGAGGAAGGGGAGCGGGGAGGGCGGGTTCCATTGAGCAAGCTAGGTTTACTTTAGCTCCAAAGATCATTTGTACAGACAAATTTGCAGACTTTGCTCATTCTACACATTTGATAGAATAGCTCTTTGTTTTCACGTCTCCCCCTCAGTTCGACTGTTCGCATTCTGTTCTGTATTATATTCGCCCCCAGTTCGTGTGTTGCATTATTGTTATTATTATTTTTTATTTTGATTTGGTTCGGCTTCCCCCTCCCCCCAGTGTGTCTTTGCTTCAAGTTGTGGAAATGAAAGTTGCAGTTGGTTGAATGCGGGTAGTGATGAGCTCATATTATCTTTTTTT